AAAGCCCATCACAAGCAGCTTTTAAATAATAACATATATAGAAGGTGCACAGCGTCATTCACACAAACACTAAACACCATCATGGTAACACACATGAAACTGAAATAATGGTTTTTTTTACCGTAAAAAATACCGGAATTTTACCGTAAAAAATATGGTAAATTTACAGTTAAATACCGTAATTTCATTAACTGATGCCATGTTAATACCTATTGAAGTACTGAAATCTGTTTTGTACCTTTGTAATATACTGATAACCACCAAATGCAGGTGGTGATGAGAAAGTCACATGATAAACCAAAGCCCATCACAAGCAGCTTTTAAATAATAACATATATAGAAGGTGCACAGCGTCATTCACACAAACACTAAACACCATCATGGTAACACACATGAAACTGAAATAATGCAATAAACATTCCTTTAACAACATTAGGTGTAACACACAACCCTAATATACAAAACTGAGAAGAAAACGTAAGGAACATAGTTATTTCAACAAAAAAACATCAAATTTGAAATGTAAAGCAGGGAATTCTGGGAACGTCAATTTACGGTTATTCACTGTAAATTATACGGTATTTTTCACTTCCAAAAACGGTATACTACCGTAAAATTAATGTCCAATACATGTAATGTCCAATACAGTTTTTCACCGTATATAGTAGGGGAATTTACCATTACCCATTTAACAGGTTTTTACTGTAGCATTTTTACAGTCTTTTACCGTTAAATTCACGGTCATTTTTTACAGTGTAGGGAACGTCCTATAGACGTATTGCAGATGAGCAAACACTGGAAATGCAGATGTCAAATAGACGTCTCCGTGATGCTATCAAGGTATAGATATGGCTCAGGTCCCTTCAGTGTAAACATATTGAATAGCCTATTTAGTTTTAGCAATTCCAAATTTAATAGTACATCTCTCTTTGACAAGCTGGATGATTTGAGGTATCATGGCAGGTGTCATAGTTAAATTTTTTCTTCCTTTTTATTTTAAATGATTATTTGTCCATAACTAAGTATGTGCAATAGCAACAGTGCTGCACGCTTTGGAGCACAACACTAATTATTTATACATTTCATTAATTTATTTTTAATACTTTTGACCTCTATGAAATATAATTAGGTTTAACCCTTAAATGCATGAATGTTTCGCCAATCATTATTACATATTCGGGTCTAGGGATGTAACGGTATGAACATTTCTTATCACGACTATAGTGACCAAAATGATCACGGTTATCAGTATTATCACGGTATTGTTCAAATGTGCTGGAGATGTTCAAAAAGTACCGACACATAAATCCCTTCCCCAAGTTTTATATTTAAAAATCAACAAACAACAAATAAAATGACTTTGTTTGCATAATCACTAAAACAATAACATTACCAATGATGTTCGTATTTTAAATGACAACTTGACTGACAACAGTTTAATAGCGTGTCGAAATATCTAATGTAAATGTTCAAATAAAGCTTTGAAAAAGTTTAATAAAAAGGTAAACCTTACATTTCAGCTTTTAAATAAAGAAAAGATATGTCAAAATGATAATTGATTAATATATGTTTATATGTATTTTATCTGCTCCATAAATAATTCTAGATAACTTATCTGAATTGTTTAAATGTGTAGAATCCACATAAGCTTGTTTTTCATCAACCGGTCAAAATTTACAGTAGGGCATGCAAATTCGGTCTGTTTTTGGCCAGACAGAAACTGCACAATGTAAATATAAGTCTCTGTAAATCCACTCACTGGCAGCAGGTGGGGCTTATGAAAAGCTGAATTAGAGCAGTTTCCCGTAACCTCCGTGGACAAAGCAGTATTTTGTGAGTAAGACTTCCTTTAGGTCAGTGTTTCTCAACCCTGGTCCTGGGCGCCCCCCCAACACTGCTCATTTTGTATGTCTCCCTTATCTGACACACCCATTTCAGGTCCTGGAGTTTCTTCTAATGAGCTAATGAGTTGAATCAGGTGTGTTTGATTAGGGAGACACACAAAATGGGCAGTGTTGGGGGGCACCCAGGACCAGGGTTGAGAAACACTGCTTTAGGTATTACATGGAGTGAAGATGAAAACAAAATGCCATCGAATCGTTTCTGAAGACAGTCAGAACCTTCAGAGGTACATTCATATAATTAATTAATTAATTTATTCAATTGTATAATTCCCTTAGCACTCTTTTAAAACCTCCCAGCTTTTCCGCCCTGTTCACTCAAAACAAAACTACTACTACTTTACAACTACTGTTACTTAAAGGGGTCCTATTATGCTCTTTTACAAAGTCTTGATTTTGTTTTGGGGGTGTACTAGAACAGGCTCTCATACTAGGTTGTTCGGGAAAAAAACATTATTTTTCACATATTTTACATTATTACAACACTTCTCTCCCGTCTGGCATGAACGGCTCAAATAGTTCCTATATCAAATGAAGGCCCGTCTTCTGAAATACGAAATGTGCTGTGATTGGTTAGCTGGGCCAGTGTTTTTTTTTTGAGCGTGATTTAAACCCGGATGATTGTAACCACTCTAAGTTCGTCTGCCTTGAGAAAGATAGCGCGTCTCCGACACAGTGATAACACTCGCTGCCTTCTCTAGTGCAGCAAAATCTCATATCTCTCAATATCACAAATCCCAGAAAATATGCGTTGTAGTCCAAACGAGTCGTTCGTTGTAGTTTTTGAAAAGTGATTTCTGTTAAATAAAACATCTCCTTTTGAATTGGACTTTGAGCTTTGTAAATTGCAGATCTTTTTTTATGCTCAAACAGCAATATTACAGACTAACTAAAGTTGAAAAAGTGAAAAAGCGTAATAGGACCCCTTTAAAACTGTGCTTTATGCTGGACAGTATTTATTTATCTCGAGTTGTTACAATCGCGGTAATCCAATACGTTTTTAATGATAATTAAAAGATGAAACGGTAATACTAACCGTAGGGAATTTTATCGTGATTTATCGTCAAACCGGTAATCATTACATCCCGAATCGGGTCTTTAGCGACCCGGACCTATATATCCAGCACGGATGGATCTCTAACTGCTGCAATAGCAAAAAAATGATCTTGATATGTTAAGAACAATTACAGAAGAATAAAACAAAGCATATTTCGTTTCCTTTTGAAACTTAGAAGGGTTCGATTTGAGCAGATGATTTTGCCATCGCTGTCATCGTCAGAGCGCACTTCCACAGAACATTCAGCATCTGCCTCATATTCACGATCTTAACTATATTCTCAAAACTATCATTTTCAGTGACTTCATATTCAATATTTTCATCACATCCAGCATCAAATGACAGTGATATTTATATTTCATTGCGTATAGTAATTGCTCTGCAGTAAAGCCATTCAAACCAGTTCAATTTTTGCTGATGATATTCATTTGTTTTATGCCTGAGGTAATTATGAGTGAAACATCATATCATCATTTTGTATCAAAGTGCCACCTTGAGGAAAAACGATGTATTGCACAAATTGAGGAAAAAATACTTACACACATACATACCTCAGGTCTCTAGCACCCTATACACTTTTTACAAAAAAAAAAAGAATCAGAAAACAGGCATTCTTTTATATTTTACTATTTTGTTCTTGTTATATTGTTTATAATGAACAGATTGAGGAATACTTAGAAAGTTGATGTCTAACTTTAAAAAATGAAGGAGGGAGAGGGTAGAGAATGATGTCCCAGGTCGCTAAAGACCCAAGGTATACATTATAATGGTTAAATAATGATTTTTTTCTTCACACCAAACATATTCACACAGCAAGAACTGAAATGAGAAATTACTGTTATGGAAGATTGTTTTAGCCATTGGATAAAAAAGAAGCTAATTTTAACTGTGTTAGTTTATATCTCACAATTTTGACTTCTGAATTCTGAGAGCTGCAAGATATAAATGCAGAATTGTGAGATATGAATGTGTAATTCTGAGAAAAAATGTCTGAATTGCAAGATAAAAAGTTGCAATTACAGTTTTTACTTAAAAATAACTCGCAATTCAGAGAAAAAAAAAAACTGAATTGCGAGATTTCAACTCGCAATTGAGAGAAGGAAGTCTGAATTGTGAGATTTAAACTCACAATTTAAAGAAAAAAGCGACAATCTCAGAATTGTGAGAACTGCCAGATGAAGTCGCAATTACTTTTTTTCCCTTTTTTAAAATTCCACGATAGAAGCAGCCTTCTATTACAGCACAAATTAAGAATAATAAAAATTTAACTTTCAGTAAAAATTATTTATTTAATCAAATGTCACAAAAAAGTATTACATTAGCAATAATTAAAAAAACAGCACTTTTGAAATGTTATGACAAATAAAGACAGTAATAGTGGTAGAATTCAACATGTATAATCTAATCTAATTTTATTATTTTTCATTCACTGGGATAATAAACACCTGCCGTTCTGAACAGCAGCATTGTGAACCTCAATAACAATAATTTCTTTAGAAATTGCCAGATCTACTATACAGTACATCAGTGGAAACACACAAAAGCGCTTAAACTAGAAAAATAGGCTTTGTCAGCTTTGATCTAGTTTGAATAAACAGGCATACAGACAAAGACACGTTAAGAAGCTTGAACCAAACAACTAGTCTGTCTGTTCATCCCCGTATCTACCATTGCACAACATGATTAATATTGATCTTTGTTCTGTGCCGTGAGGCTCATAAATATAGTCTGAAATGAATAGCAGACATATTTGTCTACTAGATTACAGACATTTATATTTAAAGAGAGGCACCAACAAAACACCTTCTCCCTCATGCAAAACACATCTTTATCATAGCAGACCATCACAGAAGCCCGTTCAATTGATCATTTCTCTCATTCTGTATCATTTGGTGTCTATTTAACCATCTATTTAAAGGGGTCATATGATGTTGCTAAAAAGAACATTATTTTGTGTATTTGGTGTAATAAAATGTGTTTATGCGGTTTAAGGTTTAAAAAACACATTATTTTCCACATACTGTACATTATTGTTTAAAAGTCAGTGTATATTAATTAAAGGCTCATAATCGAGCTCAAGGCCTTTGTGTGGTAAAATGAAACCATTATTTTTCTTTATCATTTACTTAAGCTATTAATCACCATTTGCATGCCCTAAGCTGAAGTGCTAATCAAAACCTGAATCTCGAACACCAGGCTGATCCAGTTTGCTGCTATCACAGAAAACTATTTATTAATGATCTGGCGAGCCCCTGAGGAGAATAAGCGAATATTTAGATGATCAGAGCTCACCCATAAACCTCTGAGGTATCCTTTGCCTTTTTAGATGAGACTTGGATGGCATGCAGTCTTTGAGAACTCCCTTTGATGCATTATAATTTGTGCTTTAACATCCACAGGTGTCCTCCTTTGAGATGAGACGAGAGATCTCAGTCTACAGTACTTGGCTTATTAAAGGAACGCATCTCATGCTGCTGGAGACCTCTTGAGGACGAGGAAGCAGGAAAACTAAATCTGGACGTCTGTCCCGAAGTGTCTGATTTGGGCATCAGTCATAGACAGGTAGGTGGTCCTCATGCTGGGCGAATACTGCGGTTGTTAAAGAAAGAATGAAGAAACAGATGTTAAAGGTGTTTGACATTAGATACTAGCATGTGTAAAAAACAGTCCCTCAAGCCCATACAGAGATCTGCAACGAGAAAAATAAAAAAAATTTCATAAGAGTTGATGTTTTGCTGTGAAATAAGGTAAAGCAAAGATTTTTAATGTGGTGTGGGCGTGGCCAGCGCCTTTATGCAAATGAGGAGCGATGCAGTCACTACCACTGTCCTAAACTTCCTGTCAGACACTTTACAAGTTACTTAACTATACAAAAAAATAAAAATAAAATTATATATATATATATATATATATATATATATACACACACTGTCAAAAGTTTAGTATCAGTAAGATTTTTTATGTTTTTAAAGAAGTATCTTATGCTTATCAAGGCTGCATTTATTTAATCAAATATGCAGAAAAAAAACAATAATTAGTGAAATGTTATTACAATTCAAAATAATGGTTTTCTATTTGAATATAATTTAAAGTATAATTTATTTCAGAGATGCAAAGCTGAATTTTCAGCATCATTAGGCCAGTCTTCAGTGTCACATGACCCTTAGAAATCATTCTAATATGCTAATGTATTATCAATGTTGGAAACTTTATTATCAATTAAAATTCAATTAAATTATCAATTTTATTATCAATTAAAATTCAATTAAATTATAATTTTTTTTGGAACCTCTGATACTTTTTCAGGATTCTGTGATGAATAAAACGTTTGAAAGAACTGTATTCATTTAAAATAGAAATATATTCTAAGAAGTCTTTTAATAACACATTTTTAAATCAATTTAAGACATCCTTGCTGAATAAAAGTATTGATTTCTTTCAAAAAAGAAAGAAAAAAAAACTGACCCCAAACTTTTGAACTGCAGCGTATATTGATTTCTATATATGCATATATAAAAATGTATAAACGTATGTGCATATGTGTATATAGACACATACACATTTCGATATATGCAATGAGACTTGAACATGAAAATACTAACTTGCCAGGAGGACTTGCAAACACTGTGGGTGTTGGCAAGGTGGAGGAGTTACTATAAGCAATTTCACTGCTCTATGTGATTCATTTCTGCGCATGTACTGGAAATAATAATGATCTCCAGAAATGAAATCACTGTATGTGTGAACAGGACTTGAGGTGAGTTGGGAAAACACTGATGAATTTTTGGCAAAAGACAACAGCTTACATTTTAAAGGGATGTACAGAATGTTTATGAAGTGGGTGATGATATCCTCAAAGGAAGGAAACGTGGACAAAGTCATGTTGAGGGGGGGACAGGGGCACACTTACTGTTTCTAAATGTCTGAGGATATAACTTCACATGCGATAAAAGACAGGAAAAGAACTCAATTAGCTGTGAAATATCATTGTGTGAATACAGAGTCTTGACAGTTAAAAATGAAGCTGGGAATCGGTTCATTAGACAGAAGACTGTCCTGTGATGAGTTGTACGCCTCCTGCAATGCTTCAACCAACACGACTCACTAGATGATCCTCTCAATTACACCCTTTCACTTATGATTCATCTTACAGCTCACAATCTGCACAAGCCTGATGGACAATTTGGCTTCGAATTAAATCAAGACAGGACTGTTTTTAATTAATTTTCATTAAAAATGAATAGTAATTTCTCCTTTTTCCCTTTATAACTGCAAGGATATTCAACAAAAAATGGAAACATCAGGGGGCAGTAATGCTCCATGTCTACTTTCAGCTTCAGTTCTCATGATCTCGAACACCACAATCACACAAAGCAACCTTAGACACGGGTTACATTAATGAAATCATACTGGATCTAATATAACATTCACCATAATTAAGAATTATGGTGAATATACACTATACCTTTCAAAGTTTTGGGGTCGGTGAGATTTTTTAATGTTTTTGAAAGAAGTCTCTTATGCTCAGCAAGGCTGCACTTATTTGATGAAAAATCCCATATAAACAGAAAATTCTGAAATATTAACCTTTTAAAAATCAGTTTTCCATTTGAATATATTTTATGATGTAATTTATTCCTGTGATGAAAACTGTATTTTCAGCATCACTGATAGACTCTGAAGACTCCAGTCTTCAGTGTCTCATGATCCTTCAGAAATCCTTCTAACATGCTGATTTCAAGCTCAAAAAACATTTTTTGCTATTATCAATGCAGAAAACAGTCATGGTACTTATCAGTTTATATTATATTATGAAACTATATATATTTTTTCAAAATGTTTTTATGAAAAAATAATATTTACTGTTTAATAGATGCTTGCTGAATAAAGTGTTAATTTATTTTTCTTTTAAACCTTACTGACCCAAAACCTTTGAATAGTTGAGTGTAAGTGATAATTAAAAGAATAACTGACCAAAAATCAAGCGTAGCGTTAGTTCTGGCACGTCACGTTAGTCAAGCTCGTATCAGCTGACTCTCAGTTGAGCCCCATCTACCTATAGGAATATGACACCTATCTAAGCATTCATATATAAGGTCCCGCAGTAGTATCAGCAGTTTTCGCATTGCTCAATAGTTAATTACCCTTCTTCATCCCCAACTCCTCCTCTGTCAGTCAGGATTTAGCCTTCTGATTCTCCTTTGAATCAGACTAATTCTAAAATGTGTACATACAAATACAATTGGTTCTGTTCTGTTTACCCTGGGGGGGTTATCGCTGCTCTCCCTGCTCTCATCCATGCTAGGATGCATGGATGCGCAGGGAGTTCTTGCCCAGAACAGAACCATACTGTCAATCCAAACTGTATGCTAATTGTCAATCATATTTGACGATAGTGGTCCTGACAGAAATGAAATATTTCTATGGTCTGCAGAAGAAAGCAAGTCATACAGGTTTGTAATAGTGCTAAAAATCCGCAACTACCTCAGTATATGATACACATCATAATGTATTACATTACAAGTATTGGATTGCAATTTTAACTTTGCTTTATTTTTGTCAAGTAAGACACGGTATGGAGTTGAAAATTTTTTACCAGTTTTAACCAGTTTATACTCAATTAGATGACCTACCTCTTCAGAAATTTTAAGAAAATTTACATACAAAATAAATAAATTAAATATAATATTAATATTATATATAATGATTTATAATTGTATCAGCAGAGCCCTATTGTGGAATGGCATAATGGTTGGATATACAGTCATTTAAATTTTTGCCGCACAATGTTTTGCAACACATTAACAGACCACTGGTTGGTGATATAGAAACCATCAAATATTCAAAAATGGAATAAAACTGTTAGTAAATGGAAGATTGAAATCAAAATACCGATGGTGGTGGTGAACCGCTCCCAATCAACGGGACGTTTTCATAGCGCGGACTTCTTTCAAATAGCATGGACTGGTTCCTGCAGGAGAGGAAGAAAGATAAGTGGGTCAGCAAAGACAGAGAGAAAACAACAGCTCTCGCTCTCGCTCTCTCTCTCTCTCTCTCAAACACACACACACACTCACATGTACTCTGGTGTGCTGGATGTGGCCTGCAGTGGAGGATGCAGACTCGTCTGGCTGCCCATGCTGCTGCTGTAGCTGCAGAAACTGTGAACTTGAGCTCTGCTGGGGTTATACGGTGTGATGCGTCTCGACGGGTTAAAGGGGTCCTCCTCATCGATATCATCATAATCCCTGTCCCTGAGGACAACCAATCACACGTCAGTCACACTGATGGTCTCAGGTGCCATGCACTACAATGACACGGCAGGAAGGTGGATGGTACCTGATGGCGATGAGGGTCCAGACATGTGGGACGGCACACAGCAGGGCACAGAAGGCACAGGCTGCCAGCAGAGAGAACAGGCACAGATACAGGAGCCCTTCCACGCCATCATAGCAAACACCCAGCAGAGCCTCCAGATAATCCTGCAGGACCAGAGCACTGTTAGATCAACACAGGACCTAAACATATTTCCTATTTGTTTTTAAGTAGTCTGAGATAATAATGTAGTATTATTTATTAGAGAAAAAACTGCTTCACTGCTTGTAAATATTTGAAAAACTTTTGTTTGCAAAATTGAAGTTAAGCGGTGCAACCGACATGCAGAAAAATATAGACCTCTATACCAAGGTCACCTTAAGAAAAATAATAATATGGTTTACCTTTTCGAAAATAATATCATTTACGAATTATGATTACATGCATTAAAGGTGTAAGGAAAATGTTATTACTTTATACTCGATGGTTACACCACATAACATTTTTACAGACATTAAATTTAATAGTTGGTTGGAAATGGTAAAAAAAAGTTTTTCAAAACCACATGAAATCAACAAATACAGATTGTAAAAATATTTGAAAAACTTTTGTTCGCAAAATCTAAGTCAAGTAGTGCCACCAACATAAAAGCAGAAAAAAATCCACTAACGCCAAGGTCATCATAAATCTCTTCAATAGATAAGTCAACCTTTTTATGAAAAATCAAGGTTAATTCAGGTTATAAAATGTCATGTGGTGCAACTCCCCCAAAAATATTATGTATGAATTAGGAATATGATATTTGTATAATAAATAAATAAACAAACAAATAAACTATTTATTTAAAAAATATATATAATAATAATAATTATATATATATATATATATATATATATGTTTTCAAAAATAATAATTTGTGGACACTTACATGCATTGAAGGTGTAAGGAACTTTTTTTGATGGTCACACTACATGACAATTTTAGAGACATTACATTTTGAAATTTTGAAAATGGCATAAATAAAAACCAAAATTTTAAAAAATAAAATCCTCCTGTTCTTTATCATAAACACTCTTATTTGTCATTGCAGGCAGTTTTGGGTTAAATTAATAATAATACAAATAAATAAATAAACAAAACAGTGAACAAGACTGGCAATAGATAGAAGTCTGACTTAAACCTGGCAAACTGTTAAAATATACTTTGAAGTACAAAGGTGACTCACTTTATGCAGACTACGGCAGTCCAGCAAGGCGGTAAGCTGGTGCAAATGGAACTCTGAAGAGTTCAAGATCCGCTGAATTCCAAGAAGATCTTTCTAAAATGATTCAAATTGGAAAATAAATGTTTGGAAAAAAGGACGTACAGGATGTGAAGCAGAACCCTCTTTGACAGCACTCTCACCTCTGCGGTGGGATATACAGCGACAGTAAACTGCAGCAAACCTTGCACCTGTATCTGCATGGTGGTCAGAGACCTCAGGAAGATGGTCAAAGACTGCAAAACAAAAACAACAGCAAATCAGACAAACATGTGACCTAAGGCAGTCGATCCACTGAACTAAACAATTTCTACATAGACATGCTATAGGTTCTGCCTTATGTTAATGTAATGACAAGTAAAATGTCATTAATCCATGCTGAGGATATGCACTTGCATCTGGATTAACGATTATTAAGGTTTTAAATTTGGTTAATGGTTACATCTGTCTTATACATCTGCTTTATGACATCCCCCCAGAACATTTACTTTAATAGATCCTCCAAAACAGCAGCTTAACCAGCAGAGAATACCGTCTAAATCAGTGGAAAAGCTTTCACAGGATTCCCACAGGCAATGCGAGAAAGCCAGACAAATCGAATTATCCCAAAACTACAGACAAAAGAGACCCCCTTTGATCAAAGTTTATTTTCATATCGCCTATTCATAATTTAATTAGTCACGCAGATTATTTACAGAAACATTATAATGGCTTTAACATGGGTATTTGCCTCAATTAGAAGTCAAATGAATCTGTAAGCTCCGTTAATTGCTTGTGTCAGGAGTTCAGGGAGGAATTGAATGCTGACGTGCCGGGGAATCGTTTACCTGCTGGAACGGATTGGGAAGACTCTGGCTGCAGTATAGGTAATAGTGCACTATATCTGCAGGGGACACAGAAACAAAGTGAAGATTCAAATGCTTACAGTCTGTGCCATTAAATGAAACTGAACCATCAAAATGGGTCATTTGGAAACCATCATTAATCATGAGCACATTAAAGGAATAGTTTAGCCTAAAATTATAATTTGCTGAAAATGTACTCACCCTTAGGCCTTTGTTTCAACTATGGATCCTGTGTAGTGATTGGGTGCCGTCAGAATGAGAGTCCAAACAGCTGATAAAAACATCACAATAATTAAAAAGAAATGGTTTAAAGTTAAAATGCCTTAATAATGGATTAGTTTCTTACAAACACACAGCTTTTCAATTCACAAGATAATTGATGGACTGGGGTCGTGTGGATTGCTTGTGGATTATTGTGATGTTTTTATCAGATGTTTGGACTCTCATTCTGACGGCACCAATTCACTGCAGAGGATCCATTGGTGAGCAAGTGATGTGATGCTAAATTCCGCTAAATCTGTTCCGATGAAGAAACAAACTCGTCTACATCTTTGACGACCTGAGAGTGAGTACATTTGACAAGTACAGTTTTAAATTTTTGGGTGAACTATTGCTTTGACATATGACCGCCCACATATCAGCTATTCAGTATTAAGCCACCAATTACAATAGAGATCATTTAAAGGTAAAGTAGCAATAACTGTTTAATTCTAAATGTCAGAGAGTGTGGAAAATGATTGTGTGAAACTACATTATGAGGAAACATTGAGTATAGGATATGACTTTGTTTTAAAAAACATCTAGTTCATGCAAAGGACACAGGCATATGGAGCAATATTACTTACCCGCACTTAAGGAGTCTTTGGTTTGATTGACAATGAACTTGTCAGGAGAGACACAAAAGTCACTGGTGCCCTAGAACAGACCAAACAACAAGCTCACAAGTACAATTCTGCAAAACAAGAGAAAGAAACTGAAAGGCCACATAGCCTTTGGCGGATGCTGTTGCAGTGCTCACACATATTGGATTGTGGCGTTTGTATCAAAATGTGACAGGGTTTCTAAGACCTTTGCTGAAAGTCAGGACCATAAAAGGTGATCAAACAGGGGTTAATCCTATTGCAGAGATCTGTGGATGGCCTGGCTTAAATTAGTGGGCTTCAGCGGCAAGAACAGACAGTGAAGTGTTACCTCAGATATTGAAAAAGGCTCAAAGAAACCTGAAACTTTCTTGAGGGAAAGTGTCATGAACACTTTTTTCTAATTAAAATGTTTCTGCACTGATAATCTTCTCTCTGACAAAGCTCTGACAATCTCATTCATGCATTCAGATCTGAATGCATTCGGATTCAAAAGTGACAAACTGGATGGCAAAACCAACCAGATTTTAATTTCAGAACTAGGATGCCCTTGGGATTTAAGCGACATTATTACCAATCATTTCCTAGTTAGGTAAGGTTAAGACAATGGTGGTTTGTTGGAACAGAAACTTGTTGTTTCAAAACCACCACAGTGTTTCACATGTGGTCCCGATGGTAAATTCTCTCCGAAATAAATAAAAAAGGGACAAATGCAGGTGTGAGAGTCACATGTTCCTTCAAGGCTTGTTTCCACTCTCTCTTACTATCAGTAACAGGAGGGAATCGATGTAGTCAGGCACTGCTGGAGTAATCCACTTTACTGCTGGGCCTGACCTCTGCTCTGACCCCTCATTGAGCAGTCTTAAGTTCTGTTCCCCACAGACATGCTGACTGAAGCGTCGGCTCTTACTCTAATCACTGTCATGCTCGCCGTTTGCCTCTTAATGTGTAGCTACTCAAAGACTAGAGCTAAAATAAGTAAGACATTGTATTTTATAACAACATATGTTTCTTGACAAAATGCAAATAACATTTACTATTTCTTTCACAGCATTTGTTGGTTATAAATAGGGTTGCAAAAAGGTGGAATATGTCCAGTAAATTTCGGAAATATTCCAGAAATTTTGGAAACTTTCAAATAGTTTTTGGCGTATTCTAGGGATTTTTGGAAAGTTTATGGAAATTTAGAAGACATTTTCCACCCTTTTGCAACCCTAGTTATAAACATGTTCAAGCAAGGTTGAGGATTCATAGTTGAAGATTTGGACTACTAATGAAAAGTGGCATGTTTGAGGTCAGGTAAGTGCGTCACAGGAAGTGGAAAGTACACGAGATCCCCCTTCAATACCCCAGTGACATCATGAACAAGGCACTTAGCTCCTAGGTGCACGGTACTTGCACACCCAATTACTGTATTACAAGTCAAGACTAAATATAAGGCATCTTCAGAGGTGTTAGTGAGGCCAGCAGGGGGTGCTCACCCTGTGGTCTGTGTGGGTCCTAACGCCCCAGTGTAGTGACGGGGACACTATACTGTCAACAAGCACCGTCCTTCGGATGAGACGTTAAACCGAGGTCCTGACTCTCTGTGGTCATTAGAAATCCTAGGATGTCTTTCGAAAAGAGTAGAGGTGTGACCTCGGCATCCTGGCCAAATTTGCCCATTGGCCTCTGATCATCATGGCCTCCTAACCATCCCCATATATACTAATTGGCTTCATCACTCTGTCTCCTCTCCACCAATAAGCTGGTGTGTGGTGGGCGTTCTGGCGCACTATGGCTGCCGTCGCATCATCCAGGTGGATGCTGCACACTGGTGGTGGATGAGGAGATACCCCCTGACAATATAAAGTGCTTTGAGTGCCTAGAAAAGCGCTATATCTATGTAATGAATTATTATTATTATTATTAGATGCAGAGATGAAGACCGAGGCGAGACATGCGACAGAGTAAATTGGCCTGTTTAGTGACACAGAGAGAATGGCTGTTTACATTCGTTAAGCCAGTGGACTGTCTAATTTAAATGACCAGAGTTTTGTAATCAGCTTTTCAAACTGGCATGCACCACGAGACGCATAAACGCAGTCACTGAACCCTGATAATCTCCTAAGAGTTTCACATAGCTCACGCCCCTCTACCCTTACAAACATTCACTTAAAAAAAATCCAGGACAGTGTTAGTGAATGAAGTGACTCATAGTCACTGGACACTGATCAAAGGGAGTTTAAAGTAAGCAGTCATGTGAAAACACAGTAACTTACCACAGCTGTGGCTGTGCCCGCTCCTAATGACGCCCAACTCATGATCAGGGTCAGTACGCCACACACCATAATACTGAAATGAGAGAAAGAGAGGACTTAACAGTGAGATGTGAAGTTAAACATGAAATTAAACACTACCTTGCAAAAGTTTGGGTAAGTAAAATCTTTTTGAAAGAAGTCTCTAATGCTCACCAAGGTCAAAAATACAGTAAAAAACAGTTTTGTCATGACAACTCTCGGAGTGATTTGCATGGTAATGTACATGACAAGGTTAATGTGTTTGGTCTTGGCGGAATAGATCTGCTATGCTGCTGCGGCAGAGCAAGTACCGAGACTTGCGACTGCCAATACGTCCACAACATGCTGCTGTGAGCATGTAAGAAATACTGCTGCTGCAAATATAACATGAACAACCCCCATATAGTATACATGAATCACCCCGTAGCAGATCTATACAAGTGGAGCTGGGGAAGGTGGAGGGTTTCTAGAGCGTGCTGCAAACTGCTACCACAAACATTAGCCAAATATTTAAATGTTGAGTAGTGAGCTCATTGGCTACTGATACAGGAGAGTGTACACATACAGTGACGTGATGATGATGTCATTATGTCATACGGAGTTAGATCTATTTGGACTGCGCCATCTAGTTTCATGCCAGAACTTTGTATTAAAACTGTGAAACAATATTATAATTTAAAATAATCTATTTGAATATATATTAAAAAGTAATTTACTTCTGTGATGCAAAGCTAAATTTTTAGCATCATTACTCCAGTCTTCAGTGTCACATGAAGTCATTATAAATCATTCTAATTTACTGAATTGCTTTTCAAGAAACATTTCTTATTATTCACAGATTATTATTAACAGATGTGTGATACATTTTTTTTTACGATTCTTAGATGAATAGAAAGTTCAAAAGAACAGGATTTATTTAAAATATATATTTTTTTCTGCCTTTACTGTCACTTTTCGATCAATTTAATGCATCTTTGCTGAATAAAAGTATGAATTTCTTAAATATACATACATATATATATATATATATACAAACGTAGGTTTATGAAAGATGAAAGCAGAAATAGGTGTTCAGATAATATAAAAAGGCACATATATTTTTATTTGTACTATAGTATTCTTATTTATTAGCTACTTATCGTATAGTTTTGTACTGAATTATTAAGTAGAGGATGTTGAAAACAATTTTGTTTTATGTGGAGCAAATAAAGAAAGGAAATCTAATCTAAAGAATTTGATTAAAAAAGTAATTGCTTGTAATCAAAATCGATTCATGTCAACTGTAGGCACGTTATGTTCAATAATATAAAAACAAACAAACAAACAACATATGTCTGCTTTTCTAAGCAAATAATGTTATGCTATTATTTTCATATAATTTGATTAATTAAACTGTCACCTCATTCGATTTTTTTTAAATCAGTTGACAGTGCTGAATTTAATATTCATCTACTGTGTGATTTAGATGTGTGTGAGCACACTGCCAGTAGGTCTCTAAGTACTTTAAAAGTGGGTGTTTCTAGCACTCAAATTATTCTTCCATCTTCCGTTGTATGTTTCCCATCCAATTAATAATTGAACAGACCAAATACACATAAGAATTTCATGAGCTCCAGCCTAGTATGTGAGAACAAACAATCTGCCAAACAGTTCACTCTGAGAAGGTGTTATTTCTGGTAATCAAGCATAGCATTTGATCCCATAAAAAATGTTTTATGAACGCATAATATTTCAATAAAAGATTCAGTAGTAGGGCACTGTTTTTGAACTAATGTTAGAGCATTGAAACCAATGTTTAAAAACAGGTGTTTTACTGTATTTTCTGTACTGCATTGATTCAAGGTCTATGGTTTGGTGTGCTACTGGAATGCCTGGCAAGTCACAATCCGATCAGTAATCCTACATCAGGAGGACTTAAAAATGCCCACACATCTTGAGACATAGAGATAGAGAGACGGAGGGAGAGAAATATATGGAGGTGTATGATAAATCAAGGGAGGGAGTCCAGAGCTTGGGCGATTAGATTTACCCATGAGTAATGGAGGAAGAGACGTTTGAACATTGCTGCTCAATAGCACAGTCCTTTAGCTGCTTGAAACACTAGCTACTCGTCAATACATGCACTGCAAGTTCATAACGTGCCGGTCTACAAAATGGAAATGTAATCTTCTTGGAGGGCATACAAATCAATTTAACAAGACTAACAGCTCCAAAAGGGCACAAGTAACCTACATCAGTCCACATGAGATCCAGTAGTAGTGATAAACAATAGAAGATAAACAAGTAGCCAAAGCTGGCACCTTTAAGGCAGTGCTCCATTAAAAACAACTTGATTTTGGTAGGGTTAGTAGGTTGAGGGGGGGCAGGGCAACATTTCTGAGAAGTAGGGCCATAATTATGAGATGTAGAGCGAGAGTTTAAGAAATGGGGACATATATTTGAGGAGTTGATCCACAAGTTTGAAAAAAAAAAAAAAAAGGGTTACATGTTTTGAGGAGTAGGACTAGAAGTTTGAAAACTAAGGTCACATGTATAAAGAGTAGGGCAAAAAACTAGGCTTGCATGTTTGAGGAGTAGGGCCAGAAGTTTGAGAAATAGGGAGAAGATTTGAGGAGAAGGATGTTTGAGGAGAAGGATCAGAAATTTGGAAAACAGGGTCATATGTTTGAGAAGGTCAGACATCTGAAAAATAGGGTGAAATGTTTGAAAAATAAGATTACATGTTTGAGAAGAAGGGTCAGATATTTGGAATACATGGTCAGATGTTTGAAAAGTAGAGTGAGACGTTTGAAAAATAGGGTCACGAGTTTGAGGAGAAGGGTCTGAAATTTGGAAAATAGTGTCATGTTTGAGGTGAAGGGTCTGACATTTGGAAAATAGGGTCACGTGTTTGAGGAGTACGGACAGAAATTTGGAAAATAAGGTCATATGTTTGAGAAGAAGGGTCAGAAATTTGGAAAATAGGGTCAAATATTTGAGAAGTAGAGCAAGATGTTTGGAAAATAGGGTCACGTGTTTGAAGAGTAGGGACAGAAATTGGGAAAATAGGGTCAAATGTTTGAGAAGTAGAGCAAGATGTTTGGAAAATATGGTTTGAAATTTGGAAAATAGGGTCACATGTTTGAGGAGTAGGGACAGAAATTGGGAAAGTAGGGTCAAATGTTTGAGAAGTAGAGCAAGATGTTTGGAAAATAGGGTCACGCATTTGAGGAGTAGGGGCAGAAGTTTGGAATACAAGGTCACGTGTTTGAGGAGTAAAGCTAGATTTTTAGATAATTGGGTCACATGTTTGAGTAGTAGAGTCAGAAGTAAAAAAAAATAGGGTCAGAAGTCTGAAAAATAGGATCACATGATTAAGGAACGGGCTTTTGAAACATTCAGACATTTCAGACCCACGTCTACATCAGCAGTCTCTAAAGTGCATGGGGCTGTACTATCTCTGACCTCTGATGAGACATAGGACATGCTGTTGCAAAAGTTTTCAAGAGCACGGAGTGCAATAAATAAGCCATCATTATTACCCCACCAGCCCAAGGCAGCTTACCTGTAGTACTCTATGAATGAAGTTTTATCCGCGATGGCTGCCAAATCCACTTGCACCTTCATTGTGTCTGGCATGGCTGTCAGCTGCTGGATAATGTTGTTGGCCATCTGCTGCATGAAGTGCAAGGTTTGGGTGTAGTCTCCCCTTGGAGAAAATATCTCATCCAACCGCTCCAGGTGTTCTTTCAGCCCGACCTGCATACTAGCCAATGAGTTTCCCACCTGAGAATAGAGACAAGAAAAATGCTGATAACCATTAGAAGGCTAATAATGGCGATCGGGCCCACTGGCACGGAGACAAATGGCTGTTCTCAATTAATTCTCTATGGGAGCAGGAGGCATGCACAGGGGATCATGGGATTGCCAGAGGAGTAAAGTAAGTGGCAAGAGTGACAGAAAGCGGAGAAATTCTTTAAGGAAAAAAATTATAATGTAAGGCTTTTGATTTCTTTAATTATTACAGATATTTTGAAGAATTTGAGGGTCCAAACAATATTGGACTCAATTGACTTTCATTATATAGGCAGAAAACAACAACACTGAGACATTTCTCAAGATATCTTCTTTTGTCTTACACAGAAAAAAACAAATTCACACAGGTCTGGAATGTATATGAAGGTGAGAAAATTAGGAGTACATGAAATTTTGTGACTTAAGATGTGGTAACAGTTAAATTTTGGTGCGGTTTCACAGGCAATAAGGGTACATTGTCAATAATTTTTCAATGTATAAAGCATATCTTACAACTTTTTTGTCCTCACTTGAGATTTCTTGGATTTCACCTGCCAGAATTTGCTTAAAGGAAAATGTGACCGGATATTTTTTTATGTTATGTTATGATTATGTTATGATTAAAGGAGGGTACTAGCTAAACGATTTTCTCAAAATAAAATGTAGATTATAAACTTGTTATAAACTTTGACATATGGCAGGAAGGAAGCTGATTTATTTTGGCAGACCATCCATTGTTAATGTTAAGATGGACTTCTAGGCTCAAAATTTGCCCAGAAAGTAACAAATCAGTTTTCAGTGAGCTTCATTAGTCCCTGATCTCTGTTTTTGACAGATTCACTGTAGCTGGCAGAGAATCAATAATGCTTTCAGGAGGATTTTGTCAGGTCACCACTAAATATTTCTGCTCTCCGCCTGCCTAGGTGCAGAGTTATGACTATGAAATATTCTGTGCTTATTTTTTAAAACACTATAGAGCCTCTGCTGCAGGCTTGAGTCGATGTCAGAGATCTATCCACGTATCGACCTGTCTGTAAAGCCTGTAAAAACCAAATGCTGCACAACCCTCAAAGGTTCGTACCATAGAGACAAACCAATTGTGAAAAAGCTTTTGTTAGCATTAAAAGATTTTGCGTACAACCTTTATATGAGAATGTATCTTAATCCAGCCAGAGTAAGCTACACTAGACTGGATTAATGGCACATAGTTTGTATCCGTTTTTAAATTTGTTATGAGACATCAAATCCTTTACATACTTAAACAGCACAGTACATCAGCTGAAAAAAATATTTGCTTGAGTCCAGCCATCTGACCTCTTCTTTCCCTCTTTTTAAAGGCCATCATGTGGTATTTCTGGTAAACCGCTCTCATTCTTTGCAATAATTGATCGTTCTGCTTTAATTTCAGTGAATTGCAATATGTGGCTCTTTTGAATAATTGCTCTATAACTCGTAATTTCGAAATGGTGGAAGAGTAATTAAGATGAATAAAGATTAAGATTCAAAAGGACTAACATTCATACATTAGATTCACTTCCCTTGTGGAAGGTGTGGATACTGCATGAAATAGAGTTAAAAGCATGCGAAATGGCAATCACTACACCATTTACTCACAGTTGCAACAGCTATTTTCTGGCACGCAAATACAGGCAGGAGGCGTTTAAAAAGCATGGAAGCTCAAAAACTTCCTCCACACTCTCCCTATCACTTCAACATTCATGAATTCAGTTGTGCAATCAAGCTTGGCCCTTTAGACACGGTCCGTGGCAAGAGTGACAGAAAGCGGAGAAATTCTTTAAGGAAAAAAATTATAATGTAAGGCTTTTGATTTCTTTAATTATTACAGATATTTTGAAGAATTTGAGGGTCCAAACAATATTGGACTCAATTGACTTTCATTATATAGGCAGAAAACAACAACACTGAGACATTTCTCAAGATATCTTCTTTTGTCTTACACAGAAAAAAACAAATTCACACAGGTCTGGAATGTATATGAAGGTGAGAAAATTAGGAGTACATGAAATTTTGTGACTTAAGATGTGGTAACAGTTAAATTTTGGTGCGGTTTCACAGGCAATAAGGGTACATTGTCAATAATTTTTCAATGTATAAAGCATATCTTACACAGAAATCACTTCAAGACAAGCATTTTTTTTTCAACGTGGTGAAATTCGTGTGAGCAACTCAAACCAGTTGCAAAATCTGAGTGGGGAAACTTTTTTGTCCTCACTTGAGATTTCTTGGATTTCACCTGCCAGAATTTGCTTTAAGGAAAATGTGACCGGATATTTTTTTATGTTATGCTATGATTATGTTATGATTAAAGGAGGGTACTAGCTAAACGATTTTCTCAAAATAAAATGTAGATTATAAACTTGTTATAAACTTTGACATATGGCAGGAAGGAAGCTGATTTATTTTGGCAGACCATCCATTGTTAATGTTAAGATGGACTTCTAGGCTCAAAATTTGCCCAGAAAGTAACAAATCAGTTTTCAGTGAGCTTCATTAGTCCCTGATCTCTGTTTTTGACAGATTCACTGTAGCTGGCAGAGAATCAATAATGCTTTCAGGAGGATTTTGTCAGGTCACCACTAAATATTTCTGCTCTCCGCCTGCCTAGGTGCAGAGTTATGACTATGAAATATTCTGTGCTTATTTTTTAAAACACTATAGAGCCTCTGCTGCAGGCTTGAGTCGATGTCAGAGATCTATCCACGTATCGACCTGTCTGTAAAGCCTGTAAAAACCAAATGCTGCACAACCCTCAAAGGTTCGTACCATAGAGACAAACCAATTGTGAAAAAGCTTTTGTTAGCATTAAAAGATTTTGCGTACAACCTTTATATGAGAATGTATCTTAGAATCTTATCCAGCCAGAGTAAGCTACACTAGACTGGATTAATGGCACATAGTTTGTATCCGTTTTTAAATTTGTTATGAGACATCAAATCCTTTACATACTTAAACAGCACAGTACATCAGCTGAAAAAAATATTTGCTTGAGTCCAGCCATCTGACCTCTTCTTTCCCTCTTTTTAAAGGCCATCATGTGGTATTTCTGGTAAACCGCTCTCATTCTTTGCAATAATTGATCGTTCTGCTTTAATTTCAGTGAATTGCAATATGTGGCTCTTTTGAATAATTGCTCTATAACTCGTAATTTCGAAATGGTGGAAGAGTAATTAAGATGAATAAAGATTAAGATTCAAAAGGACTAACATTCATACATTAGATTCACTTCCCTTGTGGAAGGTGTGGATACTGCATGAAATAGAGTTAAAAGCATGCGAAATGGCAATCACTACACCATTTACTCACAGTTGCAACAGCTATTTTCTGGCACGCAAATACAGGCAGGAGGCGTTTAAAAAGCATGGAAGCTCAAAAACTTCCTCCACACTCTCCCTATCACTTCAACATTCATGAATTCAGTTGTGCAATCAAGCTTGGCCCTTTAGACACGGTCCTCTTTGCCTTTAAATTTTAAGAGTGAAACTTCCACTAAAGCTGAAATTGGATTTATGCAGTTGTAGTGAAGCCAATGGTTGTTTGTTGTTCTCACATTTTCAATGTTGTTTTAGCTACAGCAAACAGTGAAAAGGCTGTTCTAGACCGCATATTTAGATATGTTCACTCGGCCGTGAGGCAATGCATTATGGGCCAGTGAGCCAAAGATACACTGGCAGAGAGTGAGAGTGACAGCAGGAAGCTCTCGGAGGCAGTGTATTAGAAGAACAGAGGTTGTCACCACATTGCCAGCAGGTAATGAACATCAGGGCTGTATGAGGAGAAATGTTCTGCCAGCCAGCCAGCCAGCCAAATGCTCCGTTTGTCACACTCAACCTGCCATATGCTAAACTACACCGCCCTCAAATCCAAGACATACTGCTGGAAACACTGTTTGTGGGTTGTTTTAAATATACCAGTGCTCAGTGCATAGATGGTGATGTTCAGACATTTGAATGGGAAAGGAAAGATCTTGTAAGCCTGTCACTTAATCCACATCGATTATAACAAAGACTGAGATTAGAAAAAAAATCACTGCTTTTTTTGTTAATAAAAATGTGAAGTCTGTCCAGTACTAGCATACTTCTACATAACATGCAGTACATACTCTTTACTGCTTAGTATGCTTGAACCAGTAACTTGAAACAGTGGAAATATGCATTGATAAATGTTTCAAACCCTATGTTCAGAATGAAATACAGTACTTGCTGACTATTTGCTGAAAACAGCACAGCATACAGTCGTCAATAATCAATAAATGTTGCAATATTTATGTACTTGCTTTTAAATGAGTTAAAAGTGTATGTTTTTATTTCAAGGAACTATCATTTCAACCATATAGCAACGACAGCCTAGAAAACCCAAAATGTTTAAAAATAAGAAATAAAATACAATATAAAAATCTAATGGAAAAGTCATATTTTTCCACATCATTGTTTCCTTCAAAACATTTAATATTTTTTTTATCAATATGCAACAATAAAACAATACACTGTATAATAATCAGGGCATCTTTAAGGCGTTTAAAATCAAATTAAAGCTTTTTACGACATGCACATATCATTTTAAAAAGACTTTAAAACATTGACCCCAAAATACAATATTAATTTTAAAAAGTAATATTGTATTTTGGGGGTCATTAGACTATCTTACAGTTTAAATAATACAATATAATAATACAATACAATACAATAAAAAGTTTTGGCAAAAAAAATCAGTCAAAATTATGAATATGATATAGATTATATGTAGCCTCATTTTCTAGAATGAATGCACATTAGCTTTTGTTGACCGAAAACGTGCATAAGCACCATGTTGTTACTTTGAAATACACTGCGCTCATATTTATTTTATTAAATCATAGTCTTTTGATGTTTAACCCTCACATTAAGCCATATCGTGATTCCTGGTTTTCTGTCCCCAAATTTAGGACCTCTTCAAATGATAATTAACTCATAGATTATTTATTTAAGTCTTTTTAATCTCTTTTAATAAAAAAAAAAAATAAATAAAATAAAAAAAATAATAATTTTAAGCATTTTTAAAGACCCGCGGGGAACCTGGCAATAAACAGCAAATATTTACCTATTTATTTTTATTAATACATGCAAATTATACACACACAATTCCATGCAGAGGCTTCCATGAATATTTATACGTGATTATGCAAACAAATTGTTAAATGACAGATTTTGAATTGGATTTATTAAAAGCTGGCTTCCTGTTGTGAAACTCCACAACTGTGAAACTAATCTTACCGGTATGCTTTTCAGAAAACATAATGGCCAAATAAAAAGTGTATTAAAATCACAGTGATATTACAGTGCTGCTTGATTTTATACCATGATTTCACTGTAAACTGTAAACAATCAATACAAAGGCCCAGAACTACTGCATACTGCTTTAAGAGTAAGGCATTATAAGATGGCATACTATCTGTTTTGAACATAGCCGATATAACTTTGTGTTGTTTCTCCTTGTCAGAAAACTTTGATTTATCTGCATTTAATAAAATAAAATTAAATAGTTAAATTACATTTTATATTACATAATTAATTTGAATTCTAAAATGAAATGTTAAATTACATACAATTTTAAATTAAATTAAAAACATGAATATAATATTAAATTAATTCTCAATAAATCCTCAATCATTTGATCAGCAGGATGCTCACAGACATATAAAGCAGACCAGTGAATGTGGAAGCATGAGTGGATATACAGATAGATTTTTAATCCCCTTTAATGCAGATGAACAGATCATCCCAGTCTTCTCTTTGCGCTTACTGTTTTCCTTTGCCTACACACAACAATACACACACCAGCTAGATGTGTTTGCATCAGGAGAGGTTTAGTCTATCTACAACTCAAACTAGAGGTTAAAATGGGGACAGGCACAATATGACTACAGCTCTCAACATGCAGAGAAGAAGCCTGCAGCAGTGCTGCATCTATGCGTTTCTCTCTGTGTGTGTGTGGTGCCACTCATCACATGATACACTCATACTCCAGCAGCAGTGAAAAGCCCCTGAGGCTCCGGCTCTTAGTTTTTCAGCATGCAGAATGTAACAGGCAAAATTCAGATTTCGTTTTAATCGCAGTGTTCCTCATGCTATTCTAATGAAATGGGACAACATGATGTGTGACAGGTGAAGGAAGTGAAACTCTTACCAGACTGCCAATGCTACCCAGTGTGTGATTGGCATTATAAATGGAGTAAGTCAACTGGTAAACGCCATCATTGGTTTCGCTGTTTCCATAGAAACCCACGCCCACCGCTGAACTGTGAGAAAACCAAATCAAGGCAGAACAACAGTTTATGTTACAAATAGGGTTTCATATCAATAAAATTCTCTCATGTTGCTTCCAACTGCTTGTTGAAGATTTGAAACATGTAAAGGTGAAGTGTGTATTTTTGACCACTTCAAAGAAGTCATGAGCAATCAAATTGTCAAATCAAATTCATTTTATGAGATAAAGGATTTTGATGCCGCTTCATCAAATTATCCTCCTCAGTTCAGAAAAAAAGGGCCATTAATTTGAACTAAACTACAAAAACAGCCTGTTTTAAATGTACAAAACCTACTAGCGTCACAGGGAAAACATTCACATGTCAGTGAAGCTTTGGTCTTGGTCCACTTGTTGAAAACACCAGAAGAATTAACAATAAGAGTAAAATGTGATGAAATCTCATGGATTGATTTACGATTTAAAGTTGTGGGGATATTTGTATATTTTTTTGACCATCAAGCACATTTATCCCCAAATTATCATTCCCACTTTTATAATTTTCCTAAATTGTATAGTAAAATACTGTATTCTAATATTTAAAAAATAAAAAAATTATAATAATTGCTTTTCCCCATTACAGCAATTCAACCAACATTTTTATTTTGGCTATGGTAATTCATTTTTCCTCAAGAAAAATATGTACTACTGTCACAAAATCTTTTTTGTAATGTTTTTGAAAGAAGTTTCTGACAAAAGAATGCTCATCTAGACTGGATCAAAAATACAGTAAACAGTATTATTGTGTAATATTATTACAATGTTATTTTAATTTTCTCTTTTAATATATTTTAAATGGTCATTTATTCCTGTTTTGGCAAAACTGAATTTTCAGCATCATTACTCTAGTCTTCAGTGTCACAAGATCCTTCAGAAATAATTCTAATATGCTGATTTGCTGTAACATTTCTTTTTAATCAAAGTTAAAAACAGGTGTGCAGATTAATATTTTTATGGAAACCATGTTACATTTTTTTTCAGGATGCTTTGATTAATACAAAGTAAAAAGCATTAAAAGCAACAGCATTAATTTGGAAAAAAAATGTTTGTAACATAAATGTGCTTACGGTCACTTTGGATTGATTTAATGAATCCTTGGTGAATAAAAAAAAAAAAAAAAAAAAAACACTGACCCCAATCGGTAGTGTTTATAAATAAATATATACTTACATTGTGTTGATTTGGAGATAAATTGTGTCCTGGAAATTGTTGACAGGTTTTGTGAGAGTCACTTAATGTATTCTTGTTACCTTGTGTATTGAAATGCCCTTGTTTCACAAATCACAGGTCTCATTTTGGCATAAAACAAAGAGTAAAGTCATCTAAAACACACCTGACTCCAGCTGCTACTGCAATAAACATGAAAAGTGTGCTCACCGGTACCAGTTTGGCTATAAAATTCATCATTTTGACTCAATTGGTCTCATGGTAGCTTCTAATGTGAAATCTGAGTAAATATTTCAAAACAGCCTCCAGAATTGTAGTCTACCTAATTACACTGCTGTGTTGTGTCATAACAGCCCAGAAACCAGTCTGCTTGCTCTCTTCTCCAGACAGCATCAGATCAGCTTCATTAAGCAACCTCACCAGAACCATGTGTGCAGACTGTCAAGCATTAGGGCCGCTCAGTCCATCTCAATCAGCAAGGGATCTAACCCCCACTCCTTATGTTAGAGCCGCTATATGAGACACAGTCCAGGCATGATATTTCCCTTGCTTTTGGAAAACCTCTTCTGTTTTCGATATATTGATGTATCGACTATACAGTATTGTCACTAATGAATTTGAATACAAGAACAGCATTTAAAACAGAATGGAAAAGTGCCAGTGTTACTGAAATTAATGAATAGAATATAACATATAGGCTACAGCAAGTTTTAACCTGGCCCACGGACAAACATAACTGGGGTTTCCTGATATTAAAGGGATAGTTCACTCAAAAATTAAAATCCTGTCATTAATTACTCACCCTCATGTCGCTACAAACCCATAAGACCTTTGTTCATTTTCAGAACACAAATTAAGATATTTTTGATGAAATCTGAGAGCTCTCTGACCCTCCATAGACAAACTACCACGTTCAAGGCCCGGAAAGGTAGTAAGGACTAGGGGTCAACGATATGTGTTTTTCTGGGCCGACACCGATTATTACATCAAGTAGACAGATAACCAATATTTTGAACTCATATATACGTGTGTGTGTGTGTGTGTGTCTGGTGTAAAAATTAAAATTACTGTCAAAATTAAGAATAACAAGGGCTCTGACAAAAACTTTCTTTAAATGCCTTTAAATTATTTTATTGGCAAATCAGCTTTTAAATTGACCGATAACCATAAAAATGCTTAATATCGGCACCGATAACCGGCCAGGCTGATAATCGGCCAGGCTGATAATCGGTTGACCCCTAGTAAGGACATTGATAAAATAGTCCATGTGACATCAGTGGTTCAAACATAATTTTATGAAACTATATTACAATACTTTTCGTGTGCAAAGAAAACTAAAATAATGACTTTATTCAACAATGTCTTCTCTTTCTTGTCAGTCTTCACAATAAATAAAAAAAGAGTATCACAATAAATAAAAAAAGTATTCTCGTAGCTTAATAACATTACGGTTGAACCACTGATGTCACATGGACTGTTTTATCAATGTCCTTACTACCTTTCCGGGCCTTGAACATGGTAGTTGTGTCGCTGTATATGCAGGGTCAGAAAGCTCTCGGATTTCATCCAAAATATCTTAATTTATGCTCTGAAGATGAACGAAGGTCTTACGGGTTTGGAACGACACGAGGGTGAGTAATTAATGACAGAATTTTCATTTTTGGGTGAACTATGCCTTTAAGAGATGCATTCTCCAAATCAGAGCTTTATACTTGCATAATACAGAAATATATCCTGTTTTACTGTATTTTTCTCAACCTGGCATCCATGTGCATGACTTGTGTATCTTATTTTCTTTGATGGCTTCAGCAGAAAGGCAAATTTTCAGACTGTTACATTAATATATTCAGACTGTTATTATAAATATATATGATAAAGCCATCTGTCTGTCTGTCTGTCTGTCTATCCATTATCCATCCATCCATATCTATATCCATCCATTTGTCCATCTATCCGTCTGTCACCCAGAAGACCTCAGAAACGTGCATCATTACCTTAGCAACCAGCTCTAGCAACGATATAGGAAACAGCCAAAATGCACTGAAAGACATTCAACCACATAAGGCATATAACCTTGAAACAGTTTTGATTTCTCAACTTTCCATTTCTAGTTAATTATTTTAAAAAAAAAGTAAATAAAAACCCACACAAGGAGGGGGATTAGAAAAACTCAAGGCCAGTTTAAACACTCACAAAACCCAGGGATGTCAAAGTCATTATTGGATGAGGACTAAATTAGACAAAACACCAAGCAGACAATTTGTTTATATATATATATATATATATATATATATATATATATATATATATATATATATATATATATATTTTTTTTTTTTTTTTTCTGTTACAGTAACTTTAGTTTACATGTTAGTAGATAGATCTTCATGCACCAATATTTCATCAAAAATGAACCGTTATTACTATATAGCTGAAACAATGTACAATTTGAAATTACATTAGATTTGCTAAATTTAACAATTATTCGTTTTTAATATTATTGTTATTATTTTTTTTTTTACAAAATTAGATGAGCAAAAATAACCTGAAAGTAAACATAGGGAAAATTACTATGTACAATTAAATATCTAATATGGGCCAAACATTTTTTAATACAAAACAAAAAACAAAGAATATGTATATATATATATATATATATATATATATATATATATATATATATATATATATATATATATATTCTTCATTTTCTTCTTTTTTTATCTTGGCATACTCATGCAGAGTGAACGCGTGCTGCTCCCCTGAAAAATTAACGTAACCTTATATTAAATGAACTATTTTATAATCATCAACTAGAGAATGACTCTGCTGCTCTTTTTCCACTTTCTGTGCTTATTTCAAGGAAAAAATTTAATGTCTATGCCAGCACTAACTTGGTATTCATGTCATGATTTATTTCTCTAGCATTTTCCCCTGTACCTGTCCATGTCATTATTGCCATTACTGAGTGACTCAAACTTAAAAGTGGGACAAAACAAACTGGGTCGCCAAAGGACACTGCTAGCCATAGATCTGGTTTCAGCTGAAATGCATGAATTTGAATGTTGTATAATTAAAATAAATGCTCTACAGGTTCTATGAGTACATGATACTTGTATGTAGTAAATGGCATAAATAATTTTAGCATATTCAACTTTATTTTTTCTCAAAGTATCGCATACTCCAGATTGGACTCCCAAAGTGGGGAGTAAGCAGATGGCATAAATTGTCCTGCTATAATAACTCCTCAACAGGATGTGTGTGTGTGTTGGTGTGGGGGCAGGTGGTCTGAGTGAGAATCCTGTCTCTGATTTCCCCTAAGCATGATGGATTCCAGGCTCTTTCCTTATAACATTACTAGAACTCCCTCAGGCCAGCAGCATTTCTGCTCCCATTAGCCGGTGAGTGTGCGAGCACAGCTCTCGCCCTCTGTTTCCAGCACGCTGCTGAAATCACTGCTCATCTGGTTACATCTCACTTACAACCTGCACCTCTCCATTTATTAAAGATCCAAAAGCAGATAAGGTGTACATTTTAAGGAAATGATTGGGCACAGTGTCTGTGAGATGAGTAAATTAGCCAGATCTCAAACCCACAATGATTAAGCCTAAAAAAGTGCAAAGATTTAAATAGTTCTTAAAGGGATGGATCAAGGTGGATCATAAGAACACTGCTTATGGTGTTTTTAACATGTTCATATTCAGTGTTGGGGAAAGTTAAAAGTAATGCATTACAATATTGCGTTACTCCCTAAAAAAGTAACTAATTACGTTATTACGTTATTAGTTAATATATTACATATTAGTTACTTTTTATGGAAAGTAATGC